ATGCTGAATAGCTTGTGAGCTGGCTTGTCTACACCCCCCTCGGGAGACTCAAAATAAGCTAACACTCATTGAAATAATACTTACATATCTACCAATCCAGGCCATTGAGCAATATACGAAGGTATCGTGCCATTAATTGAGCAATTCCTAAGTACCCTGCATACGTCATTCAAGAAGTTGATGAATAACTTCATCTGTATGTAAAGCTCTTCAGTGTGCTTTTTATTACTTCTATTTTAATATTCTACTCCTTCCTGTTCATTTATTTGAACAAAATTTTTAACTGGATGTTTGATTTAATTAGACAAACTTACTAAATTTAGACTAAGAACAAAGTATCAAATTCATATTACCCTTTATTTAGCTTTCTTTATTGCATTAAAAATATGAAAATTACAAGAAAGCAGCAGACAATCGGGTTGTGGTTTTGTTGGTTTTCTCACTTATATGAGGAGTAATTAATAGATATCGAATTCGAGTTCTCTCCATCATAGTTGCACTTTTATCTTTTCTTAATAATCAATCCAATTTCTCTTTTGCTGATAAAAAAAAAAAGTACTCACAAAGACTCTAAGTTTGTTAAGTTTGCTTGCTGCGGGAAAGTAATACCAGGATTCCTTAGTCCAGTAACCGATCTGAAACCAAAAAATCTCGTCTTAGAAAGCTTTAACCAGTTTATTTTGAACTACTGGCCTCCCCATGTATAAAAAACAAAAAGAAAGAAAGCATTAACCAGAAAACGCGAAAGCTTCAATTGTTCCTTCCAAATGAAATTATGAAAAGAAGTAGGTATTCAGTGACCGCACGTACAATGTAAAAAGCTTTGGAAGTTTAAAAATCCCTTCTGATAGATTCCCTTCAAAATTATTTCCCATAAGCTGCCTGACAATTTTATAATAGTACAAACAATATCAGATCAAGATAAATTTTTTTTTTTCATTTTAAATAATAATATTCAACATTTTGAATCTTTATTTATTTATATCAAAATAAATTCTTAGAAATACTTACAGATGAGTGAGGTTCTCCCAATTTGCAATGTAATCCGGTATAAAACCAGACAAATTGTTTCCAGATAGTTCACTGCATTGCATTGAATCACAGTTTTGGAACTTAAAATATTTTTACAAATATTTGACATCAAAAGACCCCTTTAAAAAAATTGAGAATAATAATAAAATAAACAACTTTGAACTAAAACAAGCTAAAATTATTTCAATTCTTTAGGCGACAAATTGCCTATTTCTTTTTCAACTTTGCTTTAAAAATAAAATAATGTTTAAGGATGACTTACAACTTTTCGAGTCGTTTAAGTTGAGAATAAGTCTGTGGAATGTTCCCAATAAGATAGTTGGATCTCAAGGAGCTATAACCATAAAATTTCAGAAAATCGCAATATAAGCAATATAATTTATAAATCATATATCGATTTGACTAATTTAATATTTAATTCTATATTTTAATAGATAAATAATAACAGGAATTCTTGTGTTTTTATTATTCCCTCATATTTACTTTTACTCATTGGTTTGTAACTTTAATTGTATTTAGTTTGATTTTTATATTTATTTCTAATTAGGTTTAGATTAGTAATTTTATTCCTAATTAGTTTAAATTTTCTACTCTATAAATACTCCTTTATCCAACATTCTAAATAAAGTATTTCAATTAGAATATTAGAATTTTCTCTTCCATAAAGTTATGTTTATTTTATTTATCACTTAAATAAAACTTACAATGTTGCCAGATTGCTCAATTTTCCAAGACCTGGAGGAAGTGGACCGTTGAGTTCATTTTCATCCAAAAACCTGTTTTTTTTTTTTTTTTTTTTTTTTTCCAACTGTGAATCTTTATTTATTATATCAAAATAAATTCTTAGACCAGAAGCAAATTTATATGGCTTACAGTCTTTAATGAGGCATGACCAAATCTGTAGTCTGTCTAGTTTCTTCGCTTATGCCATGCCAATGTTCGAGCCATACATATTTCCTCTTATTAGACATGTAGGAAGCATTGTAATCATTTTTCGGGAATTCCGAGCCGGTGCTCATTCTTGGCCAAGTGTAACCGGTATAAAACCAGCACAACCACAAATCGTAGGTTTGATGATATTTTCCAGAAATAGTTCACTGCATTGCATTGAATGTCACAGTTTTTGGAACTTAAAATATTTTTACAAATATTTTTTGATCATCAAAAGAACCCTTTAATAAAATTGAGAATAATAATAAAGAATACCAACAACTTCTGAAACTACACATACCAACGCTTATTGGTCTAATCACCTTATTGGAAGCCTTAACTCTCTGTGGTGATAGGCGAGCACAACTTGCCGTTATTTTTCTTTCTTCAAACCGTTTGCTTTAAAAATAAAAAATAATGTTTAAGGATGAACTTTAACAATCTTTTCGGAGGTACGGTTTACAAGTTGACAATTAAGAGTTATCTGTTGGATACTCTTGGTTTCGCTCAAAATAGAATAGTCTGTGATCTGCAACGGAGCTATACACCATACTAACTGGAAAGTTTCAGCTAAAATCGCATATGAAAGCTACCTACAATATTATACATTTGATAAATCTATAGCGCGCGGATCATTCTAGGTGTATAGTTTTGACTAAAGTGTTGTAAACTTATTGGTACTTACATCAATCTATATTTTAATCTGAATATAATGACATCTATAATAACAGGCAATTCCTGTGTTTTTATGTAATTCCCGCGCTGTTCATTCATATTACTTTACTATTGTGTTTGTAACTTAATTGGTATTTAGTTTTGAATTTTTTATAATTTATTTCTATTAGGTTTAGATTTAGTAATTTAATTCTAAATTTAGTTTTAATTTTTCTATCTCTAGTAAATACTTGTCTTTATCCTGATTCATCAACATTTATACGTAGATAAATATAAGCAACTAAATGAATTTTACAAAATTTTAGAATAAAATTAGAATGTGCGTCAACATCTAACCGCCGATAATAGTGGGCCTTAACTTGTTTACTTTTATTTATTCGGAAGCACACATGTTTGGCAATTTATTTAAGCACATACAATATCTCTCCTGTCTGATCGCTTATACGACACATTTCGAGCCATAATATATCACTCTAAAGACATAGTAGAAGCATTGTATCTTTTTTTCGGGTAATTCCTGGAGCCGGTGCTCTCCGGGACTCTACCACGTAATGCAGTTGCCCACAAATCGTAGGTATATCCCCCTTGGTCCTTAAAGAGCCGCCCTGTGTGAAAGCCTTGTTCCCGTTGCTCAAGCCGATATCTTCTGTATTTTTTCCAGCTAGATGTAAGATCCCTATAAGGCTCATCCTAGGTGATAGTTTTAGGGTCTTATGGTCCAATTGTAATGCCTATCTCGGCTGTTAGGTGCTTCATTAAGGATTGCAAACTCAATATAATCAATGGCCGCAATAATCGGTGGCCACTGCGGAGCATGTAGGCAGTTTTTTAGCACCAAATATCTCTATGTCTGCTCCGCGGTTATCACGCCAATTTTAGGGAAGGCCATTAGATATGTTTCACTCTAAAGAACAATGTACGAAGCATTGTAATCATTTTTCGGGCAATTTCCGAGCCGGTGCTTCCCGGGCTCCCCACAAATCGTAGTCATATTGCCCCCTTTTGGGTCTTAGGAGCCCTGTGTGAAGCCCTGTTCGCGGAGCCGATACTTCTCTGTACGCCTCACGAGCAACTCCTAATAGGCTCATCTAGGTGATAGTTTTTAGCGGTCTTATCGGGTCCTATTGAAGGTGTATGTCCTATTTTCATACTCTGGCTTTTTTGTTTTTTAGAAAACAGATTGGTCTTAATTCCCATTTTAAAAAAGGAAAAAAAAAAATTTGGGCAAACTCAATATAATTAATCTTGGAGTCAATTAAAATTTCGGTGCCCATTTTTTTTTATTTTCGGATACATTTTTGTGCAGTTTTTTAATGTCTTTTTTTTTTCTCCAATTATATCGTCTCTTGTCTTTGTTTTTCCGCTTATTTTTTTTTTCATTTTACCAGTCCATGAGTTGCGAGGCCACTTAGGAAATAATATCCTCTATTTGTCAATGGTAAGGTACATAGTTAGGAAAAAGACAATTTATCGAAATAAAAATTAGAAAAATAAAAATACCATTTTTTAGAGGACAAATTCCAGGAGCTGGTGCTCTTCATACATAAGCCGGCACCCACAAAAATCGTAAGGTATACCCCTTTGGAGTGCTTAAAGTGTGACGGCCTTATACAGCCCTCTGCTCTCCCCGAGGATCTTTTCGTCAGAATTGGGCCTATAACAATGGTTCCATCGTCAAGGAAATAATCCTAGCATCAGCCATTCTAATAATTGTAATGCCCCCTGAATTATAGGGGAAGCTCCTATTAATAGGCTCATATCTGGGTATGATTAAGTATTTTAAGATAGTGAGTTACTATATTGAGTCCATCGGATATATGCCTATATTACTATCGAACTATGTTTAACCACATATTATATTGCGCCCGGAAAGAAAGAAAAGAAAGAAAAGAAAGGAAAGGGCCTTACAGGTACTGTAAGCAATGAAGAGGTTTACCAAAGATGCAGGTATTTAGCTGATTGAAGAAGTTTGAAATGCGTCTCAGATCGCTATTAGCAGGGAGTTTTTTTTTATAAAAACAGATACAATTAAAAGGAGATTATCATGCAAACATCAATATAAAAAGATTAAATGCCGCCAATAAATCAAGGTGCAATTTAAAATATGCCAACCCGGAAAGCATTTGGCCCAATTTTAGCAATGACTCTCATAAAAATGTATATCTCATTTTAAAGTCTAGCTCTTGCTCGCTATCACGTAGGCTCAACACTCAAATATATGGGATGGCACGAATAAATATTTGACCTCTAAGAATTAATGTCTAAAGGAATGGGACAGCATTGTAATCCTTATTCATGCTTCGAGTCTGGGTTTTGAGTAATATCCCGAAGCCCGTGGCTTTGTCCCGGCTATATATATATATATATATATATAATTACAATTATATTGCGCCGGAAAGAAAAGAAAAGAAAGAAAAAGAAAGGAAAGGGCCTTACAGGTACTGTAGCAATGAGAGGTTACCAAATGATGCAGGTATTTGCTGATTGAAGAAGTTGAAGCTCAGATCGCTATTGCAGGGAGTTTTTAAACAGCAATTACAAGGTAAATTAAATATGCCAACCCAAATGACTTTTAAAGTATAAATTTTAAAGACTCGTGGCTCAATAAAATTAGAGATGTCAAAATGGGTTCGCGTCTGGTTTGACACGAATCCGCCCGACATGATTAAAATCAATACGAACACAACCCGTTGAATAATCGTATCAAATATTTAAATACAAACACGATCTGTTTATGACATGGTCTATTTAAACTCAACACTAACTCATTTAATTTTTAGTGAATCGTGTTCTCATATCATGAGATATTTTGACACCCTAATAAGTTGAATAAGTACTTACAGTGTATTCAAATTTTGCAAATTGCCCAAGCTAGTGATTGGACCATCCAAGTAATTGTTTGAAAGACGCCTAATTTTGCACAATTCTCAACTCAATGTAATTACACAGCAAAATGTACAATTGAAGATAGAGTGATATATAGGCTAACTTACAATTCTTCGAGCAACTTTAAATGTTGGAAGCTACTAGGAATAGTACCATCAAGCTGGTTGTTGCTCAAATCTCTGATTAGGTACAATCACAAATCACAAAATCACAACATTTTAAAATGTACAATTGAAGATAGAGTGATATATAGGCTAACTTACAATTCTTCGAGCAACTTTAAATGTTGGAAGCTACTAGGAATAGTACCATCAAGCTGGTTGTTGCTCAAATCTCTGATTAGGTACAATCACAAATCACAAATTTTATTTGTTTTGTAGTCAGGTAATACCATTTATTTATAAATATAAAATACATATATGTCCTAGTTAAATTTATAAATCTGCAATACGTACAGATTTTTGAGATTAGTTAAATTTCCCAGGCTTTTCGGTAGGGTTCCGGTCAATTGATGGCCAGAAAGATCACTGAATTTTAACCGAACAAAATATATATTAGAGAACCATTGGCATATTGCTTGATATAGATATAAATTAGATATAGAATCAGATGGAAGCTTACAGAATTTGCAAGTATTGAAGCCTACTTATTGCGTCATCAATAGGACCACTTAGTGTACTCTTTATATTTCTGTCACCCAAAATAAATAGATTTAACATTAATTTAACATTAATTACTTAAGCCCCTTGTTTGAGAACACATATATATCAAATCAATTATCAATGGTATTTTGGCTCAAACGAGAGTATTTCTGATACTACGCGGAAAGGAACTCTATGAACACTATAGGACCAAATGCCTATTTTGCACATTTTTCCATAGGTAAAAGTTTCGGTACAGGTAGTTTTACGTTGCCTGAAATGCCCAAAGACCTTGACCTCAAACTCAAATATACCATACCCTTATGTATATAGCAAGATGAGCCTTTATAATCGGATAATATGCTAAGACCTTCGAAGGATGCATGGCTGGCCTAGATTACAAGCGGAGTTTAGGCACCACGCAGGTGTCAAAGGCTACGAAGCCTTAGACCCCATGACATTTGAGAAAATAAAACAATAATTTTTTTTTAAAAGCCTTTTTTTTATCGGCTTGGTATTTAGCGGCGAAGCTAGATCCAAAATTAAAGGGGTCAAAGAAAAATTTTCAAAATTAAAAGGAGCCAAAATCAAAGAAAAAATCTTTTTGGACTATTTTATAGAGAAAAAAAAAATGGAGTTTGGGGGGCCAGGCGCCCCTCAGTCCCCTCCCTCCGCCTCTGTTTGTATATAGAACCACCCACACACAGGATGTAGACAAGTCTATAATTGACAATATATATCAGAATTTGGAGATACATACATTTCAGTTATGTGGCAAGTGATGTTGCTCTTGGTATCCTTGAACATACAATCACACCTTATTTCCGCACCAGGCTCCAGATTGCTGCTGTTTTGACAGTGTAAAGCATCGAAGTAAGATGTTGATGGAAACCTGTTTATGAAAGTTCTAATGGCATCCACTGTCAAGAAAAAGAAAACTCTGGTTAAGCCAAGCATTACATCAAACCAAACGGAACTTAATTAATCCAAATACAGAATAATGAAATGGTTAGCTAGCTAGGAGTAGAATATTATATGCATGCAAGTTGGGTTTCGATTCATGAAAGAAAAGAAAAATGCTAAATGGAATTGAGAATTGTGCTTTTAGTTACAGAAGTTTACACTCATAGCAAGGCAGAGTTTGATTTCCGTCACATTCTATTTCAGATTTTCCTGTAGAAAGCACACCATAAAAACAAATTACTACAAACGGGAGTTAAAAGAAAACAGAAATGGTTATTTAGCTAGTGGGAGCTAATTCTTGAAAAAAAAATTGAAACTTGAAAATTGTGCTCACAGAAGTGTACCCATTTTACAATTAAGATTATACTCGGGACATTGACAATTAGAGTTATATCGGCCAGGACGACAGACAGGAGAAGCTCCATAAACAAGTTTCCGATGGAGAAGGAAAGTAAGGATGGGGATAAGTATAGCCATAACTGAAAGTTTCCTGCTCATTATTTCTTACTGCACAGCTTCTTTGCTTGGCTCGTTCTATTACTCCAAAATTTATACAACATCGAAATCTAAATGGCAAGTCTACCCTTGAGATCCATAATTATAATTTTATTTCTCTTTCTATATTAATTAGTTTCTAAATTTAATTTCATTGAAATATTTAGTCATCTTATTCAAAAAATCTAATTTAAAAGTTAAATTTTATTAAATTATGTTACTATCTATTCTTTTGCAACTATTATTAAATTACTATTTAGCCTATCTCTTAACTACAAAATGTTGTCTTTTGAACCGAGCTTGATGGAGTTAAATCTCAAAGATTTTTTTTGATTATCGGAAAAGGAGACTTTAAATCCGGATCTATTATTGCTGGGTGGTATATGCACTTACTATTAAGTTATGACATAGTGTACAGTTAAATCTCAAAGATTAACTAATTAATATCTTTAATTAGAAATGAAATTATAATTATAATTAAATCTAAAGGACTAAATAGCTACTTGCTCTTACTATTTTCATTTGAACTGGGTGAATCATGCCATCTAACTATTAACGGAATCTTCTCCTTTTTATTATTTTTTTTCACCTTTTTTTAAGAAAAAAAAAATTCAACCTCTATAGATTTTTTTTTTTAAAATAAACCTCTATGATTGTTAGATATATGGATGCTTAGAAAACTTTCCACGTCTTGTTTTCAGCTTTTAGGAAAGTAAAATAAAATATGAAAGCACCAATTAACACAATTCTACTTTAACTTAAATATTAATATTAATACTTTATTAAAGAAAATTTTCAAACATGATGATTTGATTACTGTGTATAACTCATTCAATGACTAATGTAATCAGGACAGTGATTGGTATGGCCGTATGGGAATATCAGTGGGGTTGATAAATAATTAATTAGGTGTTTCTTTACATTTTATTTTAGTCGTTGTTGCAATGATAATTTAATGGATAAATAAACATTTAAAATAAAAAAATAAAATTTAACTTAAAATATAAAATAAATAAAAATTTCAAATCACCAATTCACTTCTCAACTCCATAAAATTAAATTTTCATTTTGATTAAAAAGTTGATCAAGTTAATGACGGCTAAACCTAAAATTAATATATAGATTTCTTTTTTACCATTAATATTCTGCTATGTATGTAAATTAATTAAAATATTAAAATAAAATAGTCATCATATTGTAACAATCTTTGTAATCATGATTTTAATAGTGATTTGAAATTTATTAAAATTAATATTTTAACACTAAAAACAAAAAATTTTAAATTAACTAAGAGAAACTAAATTAAAACTTCATTAACAAAATGCGAGAAATAAAAGTAAAAACTTTATATTTAGTCCTGCCAAATAACTGAATTTAATCATAAGATTTCTATTATTTTAGGCATAACCTTTACTTCATTAACTCTAAAATTCTACTCCCGCCGTCCCAAAATATAAGTCATTTTTATACGATTATTTTGTTTCAAAATATAAATCGTTTTGAGTATTTTAAAGAGTAAAAAATGATGTTTTTCCAATGTTACCCTTATTTAAATTAGTTGCAAATAAATACTTTCACAAGTAACTATTAGTTTGAGATAAATGATAATTTGGTCAAATTACCCTTGAGTTTATTATAATCTAAGAAAATCAATTGTTTTCTTAATTCTTCTGCAACAATTTTAAATAACTTATATTTTGGGACAGATAGAGTATTATTTTAACATGAACTACATATATAAGCCATTATAACTATAGGGGAAATGCACTTTCTCATCAAGACCTAAACAGCCTTTGGCAAAAGTCAACATAGTAATCGGCAAGAAATCTTTCTATACATACTAATAGATAAAAGCCAAATAATCAATACCATAATATTCTTATTTATAGAGTAAACTAGCAACATGTTTGTGCTATGCACAGTAAATATCTCTATCTATAATTTTAAAAATATGGTGATAATATTTTAAAATATATAATTTAATTGAGAAAAAATTTATAATTTAAATTATTTTTATAAAAATATGGGTGATAATATTTAAAATATATAATTTAATGAGAAAAAAAATTTATAATTTAAATTATTTTTAATTTCATATTTATTAATTTTGGTTCCAAAATTAATAAAATTAAAAATTTATAATTTAAATTATTTTTAATTTCATATTTATTAATTTTGTTCAAAATTAATAAATTAAAGAACATATATTTCAAATTCAAAACATTAGACTAATTATACAAAAATTAATGTCCATAATAAAATTGAAAGAAAAGAAAATATATATTAAAAATCATTGTTTTTAATTTATTTTTGAATTAATAAATTTTCTTAGGCGATATTAAAATAATGAAATAAATAAAACAAAATAGACAATAGAAATTCAATCATAGACATATATATATTATTCTTAATGATAATTTCCTACCGTTTTCTAAAGGTGTTATTTTTATAGTATTTTCAATATAATTTTTATTAAGATTTTTACCATTTTTAATCATTAAATTAGTTTTTATTTAATTTTGTTATGTTTTATTCAAAAGTTTCCTTAAATCATAATTCACTTGGTCTTAAGAAAATTTGTAGGATTTTGGCACAGAAAAGAAGCAAAATAAAGTAAGAAACTCAGGCTCTGGCACACCCAAGCCGTGCACATTAGCACGCCCGTGCTAGAGCCAAGGAAAATCAAGTGAAGAGTCAGACTTTAGCACGCCCGTGCTGAAATGACCCAGGACTTCCAGAGCCTAGAACGCCTTGACCGTGCTATGGAGCACGCCCGTGCCACAATGGAGACATCAACCCAAGGGCGTGCTTCAGCAAGCACGCCCGTGCTGCAATTACCCTGGACTTCCAGAGCCTAGCACGCCCTGACCGTGCTATTGAGCACGCCCGTGCCACAAGACCTTATTCAAGCGTGCCTCTGAGCACGGCCCGTGCTGATTCCTCCACAAAGCCAAGTGATAAGTATTATTTTTATAGTATTTTTATTGTGATTTTTATTAGAATTTCCATTACTTTTAATTTATTTATATTAGTTTTTATATAATATTGATATGTTTTTATTTAAAAGTTTCCTTAAAACACAACTTACTTGATTTTTAAGAAAAATGTAGGGTTTTGCAAGAAAAGGACAAAAATAAGGCACAATATAAATTAGCACGCTCAAGCCCGTGCTAATCAGCACGCCCGTGCTCAATGCAAGGCAAAACAGGCAGAGGAAGGAGCTGCGCATGCCCCAGATAATGCTGAGCCGCACGCCCGTGCCACATTTGCCCTGGACTTCCAGAGGCGCGCACGCCTCTGCCCGTGCTAATGCGCACGCCCGTGCCCGCACTAAAGATACAGTCCTGACCCGTGCCAAGGAAGCACGCCCGTGCTACAATTGCGCCAGACTTCCAGAGCCTGGCATGCCCCAGACTGTGCCAGGCAGCACGCCCGTGCCAAGGAAGAGATCCTGAATTTGAGTCAAAAGTTGCCAACTAATCCCTGCCATTTTTACAGCCCACTTTGAATACTTTCTTCACATGTCAGTCAAGCTTCAAACATATGCACATGGAAAGCCGCACATGGAAAGCCCATAATTGAGAGAAAATTTTATGGCTTGATTTTAAGAGGCTTTTCCACCTCACAAAGTTGGACTTTATTCATTAAAACTGTGGAATTGCATTCCCCCAAGATATCTATTATAAAAGAGAAGAAGAAAGCCATTTCAAAGTTCATCCCATACTCTACATCTCTTTCCCATCTCTCATTTTTATAGCTTCTGTATATGAGTTTTATTTTCTTTAGAGCTAAGTATTCAAGAGTTGTCGCAAAGGTTCAAGGAAGCCATCCAAGCAATTGTTAAACTTAGTTTCTTATTTCTAAAACTCTTAAATTTTGTTATTTTCTTTCATTATTCTTTATCAATTATGAAATACTTATCAAGCATTATGAGTTTTATTAAGTCCATGTCTAACTAATTTCTGTATTACTAGGGCGGTTTGATGTATGCTTAATCTCTTTCCAATTTATGCCAATTAGATTTATTTTTCCTTATTCAAGCTATGATTTATTGCATGAACTTTAAGCTTCCAGGCTCAGAATTTTTTCCCCTGGATTGATTTATCTTCAATTATCACTATCGGAAGAAGGATCTTTGATATGAAAAGTTAAAAAACACATTGAGAATTAATAACTTTGATGCGGGAAAGCTATATGGTTTGGACTCATGGGAGGTTTCATGATTTATCAACCTTTAATTATTGGAATTCATAAACATACTACATTTCATAAACAACTACATAACTTAATGATTTGATTCATATTTGATTGCGCTATTGGAAAATAGGTAATTAAATGGAATTAAAATAGCTAGCAATACATCAGAAGAACTTGTTAGTGAATTCAGAGTTGTTTCTACTACTTGAATAATTAAATTGATCAATGAACTAATGAAATAAATTGGATAAAATTAAGTGAAATCAAAACCCCTAGTAGTTTAAATTCCTTGATTTCTTTTAATCAATTTTTGTTTACCTGACTCTTGTTTATTTTACATTTATAAAACAATTCACTCAATTATCGTTTAAATAATAATGAGATAACATAATCTTGGTACTTGGATTACAATTCTCGTGGGAACGATATCTTACTCATCATATATTACTTGTAGCGATTCGTACACTTGCGAAATAAGCTGTCATCAAGATCCGGCACGCCAGACTGTGCTTCCCGGCACGCCAGACTGTGCTTCCCAGCACGCCCGTGCTAAAGACCAAGAGCTAATTTAAGTCAAAAATTGCCAACCAATTCCCACCATTTTCATGAGCTCACCTTGGACACTTTCTTCACATGCAAATTAAGTTCAAATCTATGCACATGGGAAAATCATGATTGAGAGAAATTTAAGGCCTAAATGAGAACTTTATTACCTAACAAAGGTGGACTTTATTCCCTAAACTATGTGGATTTCTCTCCCACGAAGTCTATATAAAGAGAAGAAAAGTTCATTGCAAAGCATCCCATTCCATCCTATCTCATCTCAGATCTCTCATATA